CACAGACGTGACATCAGGCTCCCGACCATCACTAGCCGGAGCTGAATGCACCGACCCCGACATAACTGCTAGAAAAGCCACAAGCTGTGCAAAAGCAAATGCAGCAAATATCGCGAAAAGTGGCCGCCCCGGCATGGAAAACCATGCACCCGGGCCCCTATCAAGAGCGGGACCACGGGCGAATGTAGGATCAAGCCTACAAAGCACCTTCAAGGGCCTCAGAACCTGGTCTAGAGGGCTTACACAATGAAGGCCTGTTGGCTACAAAAGTTTTCCGACTTGTTCGGAAGCAAGGCAGCTGCGAGCCTGCATGCTACATCGTGCGGTGACATGTAATGTAGCATGCAGTCGAAAACATTTCCAAACAAACGTGAGCAAGCACACATACCGGCTGATTCAAGCGAGAGGCATCACTCTACATGTACAAGCCCACCATGCATGGGCAATGCCCTCCCTGCAACACGCCCGCTGCCGCGTAAAGAATAACAGGAAGAGTCTGCACGCAACTATGGGCACACAGTTACACCTTCGTAAGCATTGCGATCTTCGACCAACGCTACTGTGACGCTGATTTTGACAGGCAGAGGGTGCACGTCAGGGTAGGAGTTCTTCACCCAGATCTTTTGGCTGCGATCTCAGCCGCCTCGGTGTGCCGCACCTGTGCTACCGGGCCGTGCTCCCTTTGGTCCAGTTCAAGCCCTTCGTCAACGGCTGGCGCACTGCACATCTGGCAATGCAGCAAAACACGTCGGTTATGGTACACGTGTTCTCGGAGCCGCAGCAAATCCTCGCCACTGAAGAAATCATCATTCCGATCGAGCAGCGGCACAACGTCGTGGCGCAGACGTTGAAGAACCCACTGGGCCTCTTTGGACAAGCGGCCCCGACGCGTCGAGATAACGAAGTCTATGATGCCCACTGGCGCCATTACTAGAGGGTTCAGCTGCTGGGGCAAGCTTTCTGAAGCTCGTAGGACATGGCACAGCCTCATCTCTGACTGGCACAGCCACTCACCAGCTGCGCAGGCCTGCTATAGGCTTCTTAGTGGGCATTTTGCAACACTTGGTTCGGAGAACCATAGCAGTCAGTGACATCGTATCGCGACGACCACGCAGAATGCCGAAACACAATAGACTTGCCAGGTTAGGGTTGCTTCGCATTGAGGCTCGCAGAGCTAGCAGTGTTCCTGTTCCATGAGGCTCCAGCCGACCGATCTCCTCTGCTCTGGTGCTTTTCAGTTCTGTTCGCAACAGATCAGTCAGGACCTGTCTGAGACCGCAGCCATTCAGTGGACGTCTGATGTTTGCCTAACTGCACTGACATAGCTCTTACCAACTTGCTCAGCTGCCTCTAGGTAAACACAAGTGTTGAGCACAGCTCCACGCTACGTCCACGTGGCACAGCCTCCGGACTTGGACTTCTTTTCTAGTCTTGTTTAGCGCTTCTTAGCTGCAGCTGCAAGTGTCGAGCACTGCTCCACACTAGGCCACGTGGCACAGCGTCCGGCCAGCCTCCATGGCGGCGATGGCTGCGACGACGGCAGCGCCCCCCAGCCTGGGGCCTTTCCTGGTGCTCAGCCACAGCACTTTGCAGCACACGCTACGTGGCCATGCCTATGGCATCTACCCGACAAGTCTTGAGTTGTCCAGGGGCGGCCCTCAACATTTCTGCGGGGAATGTCCCCTCCATCTTGGACTTTTTGACTGGCAGTTTGGACTATTATTCGGACCCAACAAATTTAGCGCCACGGTCCAAAGCCAGGCAGCGGCCAGCATCCTGGAATCGCACCTAGATGCACAAATCAATGTTCGCTTCATTCCATTATCTCGAAGCCTTCTCCCGCACAAGCAAGTGAGCTATGATTTTCTGATCGACTGCAGGGTCCAGTACGGCTTCGCTGATAAAAACCTGGCGGATCAGGAGATCATGGACATCGCTCAGCTGCCGGAGGTCGATCAGCTGTATACCTCCAGCAACCTCCACTTCCGGCCTCAGGTGGCGGACTTTGTCATCTCTACCTTGGTGACGAGGGCCATTGACGAAATGCGCAATGCCCCAGGACTGCCGACCCTGGTCGCTGCAGGATGGAATGCCAGACAGCAAGACATGCAAGATGCTGTGCCGCGCTGTCCGTGACCACAATACGGACGCAGCCGCTTCCAGCATCTGCCGGACTTAGCGCGGCTCCGACCCCGAGCATCCTCTTTCAGACCTACGTGCACGACGACAAACCGGAGCCGGCACGCATCGCCAAAAAGAGGTTCCCAGGCTTTACTCGAGTGTTTTGCACACTGGTGGGCCTAGCAGGGGCCTATGGCTCCAGCCTGCTCGATCGCCTCAAGCAGCCGGCCCATCGAGCAGACATCTTTCGCTATGTCTATCACTACCAGCACGGGGGCCTCTACGTGGACATCAAGTGCGGCTTTGCTGTACGGTGGGCACAAGTTCTGCAACTTATGGCGACAGACTGGGGCACAGCCCAATCCAAACGGGCAGGTGACGTGGGACACAAACCCTCCCCACCGGGCCAGCTCCCGCATGAATTCATGATCGTGGCCATTGGAGTCAAGGCGGATCACATCTTCCAGGGAATTATCTATGGCAAGCCTCGCCATCCTTTGATGAGCGAGGCCATTCAACATGCCTTTGGCAGGCAAGTCCTGACAGCCAAGGCGAACCTGGATTACATGATTTTCTGCAAGTTCCTCTGGAAGACCTTGAGCAAAGATCTCGGCCACGACCCTAGGCCGGGCTGGAACATTTCCAGGACGTACGGGCCGATCTACTTATTGCAGGAATGTAAGGACAACGCCAAAAAGGACAAGACCTACAAGAATGATGGTCACTACTTCGTGACCAAGAACCTCGCCAAGGTCGCGTTCACTCGCTGCTGGAAATGGCAGAAAGGCTTTCAAGGGGACCCCACCACCAAGTGCTGTCGTCACTGCTACAAGCACACCCGCAACATTCAGTTCAGCACGGGACATTGAATCAAGAATCACTTCCAGAGCTCCAAGCATGACGACTTGCCGCAGTCGGCTCCACTGCCGTCAAAGCCGCCCCGGCCCCGCCACCCCCTCCCAAGCTGGCGCCACCACAGGAGATACCGCCAAGGTGTCCCTTGACCTCCACTCCGGAAGCAAAGGCATTACAAGGCGGAGCAGGCGAAACAACAAAGGTGTAAGCCCCCTTCTCACCCAGTTGCCTCGGGCTCCCGCTGCCCCAGCTCCTCCCCCCACCAATTCCAGCAGCTACCACCCCTTGGAAGCCCCTTCACAGCCACAGGAGGGCCCCCCCGAGATCACACCCCGCCTCCGACGTCGCGGCCTCCCTGGGCGTACGAACCTCCCACAAGTGGGTTATGTGCCGCAGCCTGACACCACTGCAGAGATCTCCTGTTGGGTTCACCTTCGCTCCAGGACTGGATACGAGCGCTCGCCACCGTCAACATTCTGGTCACCCCAGTAATTCTTGGAGATCTAACAAACCAGGAGCAGCAACCGCTGTGGTCCTCGCGCATGGCAGCTCGCAGTAAAGTTTCGCCGCTAATCTCAGCCATCAAGAAGGTCAGAACACAGACAGGACTCACATGGGACCTGGCCATGTCTGTCCGCCGTGTACTGGCTCAAGATGGCCGAGTCACCATAGCAATCGGAACAGGAGAAGCTTACAGCGAACTTGAAGCGCCGGCCAAGGTGCATGGCCTCATCCATGCTTGCTTCAATCAGCTGTGGGACGAAAAAGATTTCCAACGACATTTCCCCACGAAAGTCGAGCTCAATTTGATCGCGACCTCCATCTCGACAGTCTACAATGAGGCGGCAAGATCGGCGTGCCTGCAGGCGCGCATTTTCAGGGTCAAACCCACTCGGGACTCCCAAACCACCCTCATGAAGATGAAGATTGAGCACAGCAAGGGAGTCGAGGAGGACAGGAAAGCTGCGCCCAAGTCAGCTTCCGCCCCGGCCAAGCGGCCTCAGGCGAGAGATGCTGATCAAGAAGGAAAACGTCCCCGGGACAGTGCACCTTCTTCCTCTTCCTCAAGCCAGTGGACTCGACCAGCTCAACCTTCCTACGATGCTGATTGGGACTGGCAGTGGCAGCAGTGGACCTGGGGCGGTTGCTACCATCCCTACCAGCAGTGGCCACGGGGCCCCAATCAATGATCAGGCAATCCCCGCATTTTTCTTGTGTATCACTAAAGCAGCCTGGCACAGCCACGCATGCTCGCACATGGCACAGCCTCCGGGACTAGACAGTAGTTTCTTCTGACTGCAATGCACTCTTTTCAGAAGCTACACCTTGCAGCACGTGAGCCTGGATGAAAACAGTCGGCTCAACGCATGCCGCTTCCATTCCAAAGCATGCCGTGACAGAAGGCGAAGGCTGCCTCACTGTACTGCAGGTACTCCTGGCATTTGCCGAGCCCTTACGGCCCTTTGCTCGCAGCAAGAGTTACCTAGTGTGGGACGCCACTAGACGGGAACTCAGGGAGCCGGTTCCTTCGGGAGTACGTCCCAACTGCTGTGGGCAAGTGAGCGATGGACGCGTCAGCTCACAAATGGGTGTCGGAGGAAGAGCAGATTTTATCTCGTTTCACTCTAGTAGAAGTGATTTCTGAGAGGATCGTAGAGCGCTGGATGCAGCGATAAAGAAGTTTCACGAGTGCACGGGAGCACAGGCGCCCGCAAAGCGCAGAGCACGCTCGCGCAGCGTTCCATTGAAAAAAAAGTAGTAGTAGTAGTAGTAGTAGTAGTAGTAGTAGTAGTAGTAGTAGTAGTAGTAGTAGTAGTAGTAGTAGTAGTAGTAGTAGTAGTAGTAGTAGTAGTAGTAGTAGCTGTAGTAGCAGTAGTAGTAGAAGCGTGGTCGTGGTGGTGGTGGTGGTGGTCCGTAAGTAAGTAACTGAATTAAGGAAGTAAGTCGCAGCATCGGCAGCAGAATGACAATAAGCACTGGCAACCAAAATCAACAGGAGCCTTTTCTAACTTGATGGAGATTGCCTCCAGACATGCCACGGGAATGGCCCAGTCGCACCATGGCCTTGGTAGCATCTGTTAGGACAGATGTGAGTGTTGCAAACAAACTGTATAATTTGGGTGCCGGACTGTGCGTTCCAAGATGTTCAAGCAGCTCGAACGAAAAAGACTGGCTTCTTAGAGGCTCTACGAATCGGGTTGCAGCCCATCCAAAAGTCAATCCATACCATCGTGCCGCATCTTTTCCGTATCTTCGGGGTCTTTAGCAGATGATGAACACTGAACATCCGTGATGTGGTCCCCAACATCAGCGTATGAAAGCAGAAAACCGTCACAGCGAGGACTCTCGTCTAAAACCAGCTGTTTGATGCAGACTATCGTTGTAGTCACATGACAGACACTCACAAGGCACCCCAACCCCAAGCAGCTTATTCTACCTGGCAGAAGCTGTCTGAGAGCCATGCCCCCCATCAGCAGGTCTTTGGACAACGGACTCCTAGTAGCCAACAGAAAGGTCGCAGTGATCAATGCTTGAGATCTGGGATGTTGAGTTGCCCGCCTGCATAATCAAGCTCAATCTGCATCAGCCTGTCCTACCGGTGGTACCTGCCTGGATGCCCTTTCGATTCTGGATACCCCAGGAGACGGGACTTTAGGTGTCGCTCTTGAAGATACTGCAGGCATCGCAACATTCCCATTCACAACCATGCTCCCTTCCAAAGCCGTGTTGTGGCCTCAAGACATAATGAGGGTAATGCCATCTCGTGTACGACATCAAACACTCGAAGCTCCAATATCCAAGGCTCTCACCATGCCATCCCAATCCGTCCACACGCCCACCTCCAAATATGCAACTTGATACACGGACTGGACACGACATGTCTAATAACATCGACTGACCCTGGCACAAGGCCTGCCCCAACACACCTCCAGACCACCGGGCTTGCCTCTGCATCTGGCTGCACGTCGCCCTCTGCTGCCTTGAACGGTGACTACTTTAGCGGCTCTTTGGGGTTGGCTGGCCCTTTTCCTGTACCATTGACGCGACACTCTGCTTGGATTCCGACTGGGTTCACATATGCAGGCTCCCCAGCCGTGGCGCAGCACACCTCCGCTGGGGTGACATGCAATGCAATACTGGATGCCAGATTGGGAGTAATTATCGCTTTTCAATGTTCCCCGGCCTTGCAAGGTTTTCACCTGAAAGCTTTTCAATTTTTCGCGTCGCTTTACAAAGTTTCTGCTTCCCATGTCCATCCCTGGCAGAATTCCCTACAGCCGCGTACTGCGTGTGGCTCGTATACTTCCAGCAGGCAGGCAGCGCACATCTTCCGAGCATGCGGCTCTAGGAGCATTCAAAAGACTGGCCACATACCCTACTTCAAAAAATCCCCCCAAAATGATATGCTTCAATTGCGCGGGAACTGGACTGAATAGGGTTTGCTTTGTACATTGGGTTGGACTGGCAATGCCGTCGCAGCATCTTGGCAATGCTTTCTGCTAAATTCCGGAAATCCGATGCCTTGTTTTCCTGTAGCAAATGCGCTCAACGTGAAACTCACAGTGGTATAGCCCAAAAGATCGCATGAAGCAGCAAACCCCGGAACATTCACGGTACGGTCTTCGATATCCTGGCTCTAGGCTTGCTCGTTGGCTAGCACAGCAGCTTGGGCACTGACTGGCTTCCCCGACGGTGGCCCCCATGCTGCCAAACTGACCTCATTCAGGTATGAACAACACATGCTACCCACCGGTCGGGAGCGTGGAACCATCCAAAACCATTGTGGTGGGTAGCTCTGGAACATAAGAGGTTTGCACATGGATTGTTCTGGGCTGCGCACAGTTGCAGGATCCTGGCATCCCTGCACCTGCGGAGATGTGTAAGCAGGCTTTCTCTTCTGTCAACAAGATTCACTCTTGAAATGAACTGTTGGAGAAAAGGAAGAGCCTCGCAACAAACGCAGCGAGCATGAAACTCCCCAAAAGACGGCGAGTCTATACCGCACCTCTTCATCACATGGTGACGATTGAAGCGCAGGCACCCGCGCGACTGTCGTGCCCTGGCGGTAGCAGACAGCTTTGTTATGACACCAGCGCTTCATCTGCAGATTGCCCATGGAGTTGGGAAAGCTGCTGACAGCAAGAGCCACTGATTGAAACCAAGACCGGCTAATTCAATTTCGTGATAGACGAAAAGTGCTAAGCCAGGTTTCTAACCCACAATTCGCAGAATTTCCGGCAGCAATGGCAGGTCAATCGGTAATGGCAATAAGAAAGGTATCTGTGCACATACCAGACCCAGAAGTTTTTAATCCACGATCTAGCCTATGGTGCTTCTTTTCTTGCAGTAGCGAAACATCCAACCTGTCGGAACATCAAACACGGTGCTTTTCTGGTTTCACACCAGGCGCTGCAGAACCATGCTGTCAGGCTGATACGAAACAGCGGATTTATACGGAGGACGGAATCCCATCTTGCAAGCCTTCATACCTTCATTTTTTGGTTCCTGGTCAGGAAAACTGACATGCATCTCTGTTCTTGAGGCCAACCTATGTCGATCTGCTTCCGAGCAGCTTCTGGCCACCTATTGTCATTGGGCGAAGAAATTTTGTTGGCAAAGGAGCGTAAAGCAATCGCCGGGACTTTGATTAAATTTGAAGCTGCCTCCATTGCTGCCGGCACGGCTCCCCAATAGGTACTTTCATCCCCCTAGATATGCGCTCTGAAAGAACAAGACTTATCAGTCCACCGAAAGCCGAGAAAGAAACAATCCTCAGGCGTGGCCTGAGCAGCATGAGTTTTCGTGATGCCGTGATGAATGGACGTACACTGATTCGAGCAACTTCATGCAACAGTGGCAGGTGCATGAGTGGTGGCACTCCCTCCACAAACCCACATACCGTCACATACCGCTAAAAAGCGTCGAAGCCCAAGTCCAGAGCAACACGATAAATTCTCCCTTTTCCAGGCCTGGATCATTCACGGGCCACCACAAGCTATATAGTTCATTGGATTGTCAACCGATGTGCTGAGAAAGAGCAGCTGGTTGCTCGCTGAGCCGGACATTTCGGTGACAAGTTGACTAGTCGGTTTCGTAAACAAACAACTTGCTTCCAACTTTGTCATGACCTTACCGCCAGCTTGACGAGGGGACTGCCTCTATGGGTTCCTGGCTGCATCAAGGTGGCTTTTGCTTTGGGTTGTGGAAAGCAAAGCGTCACGCAGTGCGCGAAGGAGGTCGGGATGCCAAGGCAAGACCCCACAGCAATTCAAACGTACGCTTCTTGTTTGGCAGCTTCTGGGGAGTCTACGGAATACGCATTCACTGGACTCGTGTTGCAGGATGTTGCAGGGACAGCAGCCTTCCAGTTGTGTGGGCCGCACTGTTTTGCTCACAGGACTGCATTGACAGCATTGGTTCAGCCGCTAAGCAGAGCGCACCGGGCCTCAAGGCGCTGGTAGGAACAGCCCCAGCCGGTACAGCTGCTTAACGTTTGCGTGGCTGTCGCGACGGTCGGCTATGCAACATGGTGATGACATCCGACGCTGCCTCTGGGAGCCCTATCCACGTAGGGCGGAGCAAGCTTTTCGTTGTTTGGGGGAGTTGGTAGACCGCTTTGGAAAAATCCTTTTCGATGACCTAGCAGGATAGCTAGACAGCACGTGCATTGGTGTTCTGCTGTTGATACCATGGTATGCCACAAAAAAGTTGACAAGCATGCTCACAAAAAACTTTGCCAACAACCAATCCTTACGAAATGTGCATCGAACATTGGGTGTCTCGCAGCTTGCAAATTAGAGGGAGTTAAGCTGTACCCAGAGACTCCAAGGCCGCTTAAATTTTGGAAGACCGCTTAAATTTGGCCAATACACATTAAAACAGACCTTAATAAGAGGCTTTTTCCTTAATTAGGCGGTTTTGGGTTTTAACATACCTTAATAAGCCGGCCTTGGGCCTTAATTAAGCGATGTGCTTTTGAAATAAGCGCTTTTTCCTTAATTAAGGTCATTTTTTGGGCATCCTTAAATAAGCGCTTTTGTGCGGGTATGCATGCGATGAAAGCCATGAGATGTGTTCGAAAATGTTCGAAGCATGCATTATTTCTGATGGTGTATTTTGCTTCTGACACTGTTGTCCACCAGACGGTTTTGAAAATTCGGTGTATAGATCGTGCATTTGTCGATTTCAATCCAGACTAGAATACTCGCAAACTTCAAAACTGAAAACTTTGGGCTCAAGTGCTACGGCACCCAAGATGATTATGTTGATGCTGCTGCCGGGCGATCGAGGGGTGGGCGTATACCCGGATAGCTAGATGTTGAAAGGTGTGTGTGTGTGTGTGTGTAAATACTTTTATATATATATATATATATATATATATATATATATATGTATATATGTATATATGTATATATGTTTCTGCTTTATTTGTGTTTATGATGGTATTTTTTTCAATATTTATATGCCCACGCTATATTCTCAATGAATGTATCTATATCTACACGGGCAGAGACACACTCGCACATGCATATATAAGAAATGTGTGGATGTGGGGCTTACGGGGTCTGGGGGTTTAGGGTTTTGGTTTAGGGTACTGTGGGTTTGGGGGTCTGGGGGTTTAGGGTTTTGGTCTTAGGTTGTGTAATTAGGAAGGTCTAAGGCGTTCACGTTTAATGTTGGGGGAGTGGAGGAGTGGGGGTGGGGGAGTGAGGAGTGGACCAGGGAGGAGGAGAGAGAAGTGGGAGTGGAGAAGTGGGTCTGGAGGAGTGGAGGAGTCGGGGAGTGGAGGAGTGAAGGAGTGAGGAGCGGAGGAGTGGAGGAGTAAAGTAGTGGAGGAGTGGAGCAGTGGAGAAGCATAGGTGTGGGGAGTGCAGGAGTGGAGGAGTGCAGGATTGGAGCAGTGAAGGGGAGGTGCAGTCAGCAGTAATGAGTGGGCGAGTGGGTTCCCCTTCCCCTCCCTCTCCCCTCCCCTCCCTCCCCTTCCCCCTCACCCCGCACCTCCACTCCTCCACTCCTTCACTCTTCCACTCCAGTCCTCCACTCCTCCTCCACACTCCTTCACGGCTGTCCACTGGAGAGGGAGGGGCGAGGGGAGAGGAGGGGAGGAGAGGGGAGAGGGGAGAGGGGCGGAGAGGGGAGGGAGGAGAAAGGGGAGAGCGGAGAACCCTGCACCTGCAAGTTTGAGCTGTAATCCCTGAACAATAAAAAAAATTAAAGCGCTATATCTATTCCTAAATTTAACAAAAATTTAAACCCTAAACTCAACTAAAGCAGTAAATCCTAAACTCAAAAGTCAACTAAAGCCCTGAAAAAGAAAGAGGAGAGAAGAGGGGATCGGGGAGAGGGGAGGGGGGAAAAAATATGTAATAGGGGGATTCTAGGGTTCTACCCCCCGACCCTATATAGGCCCCTATACTGTTTTTCAACTTGTCTATCTTGTTCGTTATCGTTTTTGTTGCACCCTCATATAAAATCTTTATGTAGTGGGTTATCTTTTGAACTACCCCCATCTATATTTTATGATGGTTTATTATCTTAAGGTTTTGTATAAGTTTTATCTAGGACCCTATCCCGATATTTTATACTATTTTTATGTCATAAGCTTAGGCATAAGTTTCCTTCCTTAGTCCGTTTATGTAGGGGTATTATGTATAATATTCTGTATAATATTATGTCTAGGTTTCTGTGGTGGCCTTTGTCTACATTTATAATAATATTTTTCTATTAATATTATTATGAATGGCTTTAATCTTGTTCCCTATCAAATATTTCATTTAAATGGTTTTGCAATTCATCAAGATTTAAATAATTAATGTCATTACCTATAAAATTAACAAGAAACTCATACATAATGTTTTTAAACAATAGTTTATCCGGATATGATTTCTTGTAATAGTCATAATGTAATATTAAAATATTTTCAAGTCTAGTAACATGTTTCATTACTTCCTTATTATGAAGAAAATATAGAACCAAATCAAAGTTATCAAAAAACCTTGTTCGTCTGTTCTTAATAAAAGATATAATTACTTTCTTATAAGGGTTATCACTTTTCATAAACATATTTACTAACTTTTGTTTTTTCGTTTTTCCATCATCATAAGCAAAATATACATCAATATTGTCTATTTCTTTTAATATATAAAGTTGCTTTTCAAAATTTGTTAGTTCATCTTTATCATATATATCAAATGCATAATCATCCTCTAAGTTGATAAGACGATTACAACTATCACAACAGTTAAACGACTGTATAATACTTCCTATTTCTTCTGGTAATATTTTATTTAATGTTTCCTTATTCTGTTGTGTTCGCATATGCTTACACTGCTGGCACTTGCTATAATCAAATATGGTCATTTTCCCTACTATTCTAGGGTGTTTTTTCTTTAAGTATTGTTCGTATCAATACATAAGGAAAAGGAAATATAAGGTAGTATAGATATGAGTAAATACTAAAATGGAAAGATTTTTAAGATAACTGATGTAGGATACAATAAATGCTATATCGGTAGCACCTGTGAAAGTTTATGTAAAAGAATGGGAAGGCATAGGCGTGATTATACGCAGTATTGTAATAATGGCAATGAAACAAAAGCATATCCTCGCTCAATGACGCTATTTGATGAATACGGAATTGACAATTGTAAAATTGAACTTATTGAAGACTACCCCATCGACAACAGAGAAGAATTATTGAAACGAGAAGGTTTTTACATTAAAAATACAGAGTGTCTAAATAGAATTGTATCAGGTAGAACCAAAAAAGAATATTATGATGAAACAAGAGAACAACAATTAGGACATAAAAAACAACATCGTTTAGATAACATTGAACAATATAGACATAAGGATAATATATATATATATATAGATAGATAACAACAAAGATAAAATAAAAGCCAAAAATCAACAACATTATCAACTTAACAAAGAAACAATAAGAGAGAGACATAGAGCATACAATGAAGAGCATAGAGAACAAATAAGACGACAACAGGGAGAACGTTATGAGCAAAATAAAGATGAAATTAACCGCAGAAGGAGAGAGCGACGCCTTATTTCTCAACAAGCAGTAACTCATGACGCATGAAACGTTTCTTATGGTTTTCAACTAAATAATATTTATTTAGTTGAACATCACGATTTACTTCTTTGACTTCATATGCTTTGTCAGACCATTTTGAACGAGACTGATTGAAACTGGTATAGTTCCCACCGCTTTTTGTATAAATCTTAACTTTATCACCTTCATTAATCTTAGGGTATTTCCCTAGGTATTTTTCTTTCAATACTGAGTTAGACTTTACTGTTATGTGATTATCGTCTTCATGTGCTTCATTAGGTGTAAGACCAGTCGTGGAATGAACCATTTGTTTATTATATTTATCTAATACAGGTTTTAACATTATTGACCAAGCTCCTTCTTTATGAACTTGTAACCTATCACTTACCATCTTCTTTAATGTTCTGATGACACGCTCTGCCACTGACGCATGAGTTAAAGTTATGTTATGTAAAATTCCGTTATCGATGTTTGTAATATTTTATCATTAAGTGCCCCTTCATCATCACTATAAACTGATTGAGGATAACCCATTACCTTGAAACATTCCTTTAAGGCATTTAATACAGTTGGACCGTCTTTATTTTGCATTGGAACTACATGACATTTTTTACTAAACTTATCAATACAAACAAAACCATATAATGGATATAATTTTTTATATGTGTTTGTATCCTTCATTAGACTAATCATATTCATCAAATCAACAGAATAAATTGCACGAGCAAAAGGAGCAGAAAAACTATTATATTGTTTATAACCGCTTCTTTGTTTTACTGACTGGTTTTTTAACCATTCTTTAACTTCTTCTTGTGTGATTACCATACCTGCTTCTATTGCATCATCATATAAACTCTTAGCACTACCGAAACCCCGCTCAATATCAAAATATAACTCAGATGATTTTGCTTC